AAAAAAAAAAAAAAACCTTCAGACTTTTTAAGGATTCCAGCCTTGTCATTTTCAATTTTCTGCTCTTTGGACATGCTTGTATTCAGATTCCCCAACATCTATTCGCCATATCAATCCTAATTAGACAATCTGGGCCCACGAAGGATGGGAGCAGAGTTATTTGCATAATTTAATCATAAATACTCAGTGATACATATTTCCAAATGCATTTGTACAATTATCTTTTCATCCTTGGGGCAAAAGTATTAATATGATTAGGCAATAATTCTTTAAAAAAGGGGGGAATATAGGAAACCAGCAAGTGTGCACTCTTTTTTAAACTCCAGCTTTGGGCTATATGAAAAATTAATTAATTTCTGAAGAAAATCAATTTCTCTATGTGACCATATTAGACAGAGCCAGGCAAGGATCCTGCATTCCTTCCACAATCAGGAAATCTCATCTGCTCCCTCTAACTTCTGTCAGTAGCATTTAACATCCTGGTGCGAGCGTCACTGACTTTTGCTACGCTCCCTAAATGTGCTGTAATGTGAAGGAGCCCGTGAGTAAAGACAAGCTGTGGAGCGGTGGCTGGGGAGCGGAAATCAAAGTGACCCACAATCCATCGCTGCTCTGCCAGGCAATCAGCGTCCAGTGTGAAATCATAAGGTAAAAATCACTGTTAACAATTGTGGTTTAATGCCCAGGATAAGTCATATCGATGGATATATTTTAAACAGCTTAAGTCTGTTGTCTATAAAAATCAAAGCTAATTATCCAGCGTGGTTGGGGAGAAATAGGTCATTTTAATACCACTGATCAGAGAGGAAAAGAACTGACGTCGATTTTCAACCATTGCATTTTGGTGCAGGGATTAATTGGTAATTCAAACTGCTGTTGTCGATCCAGTAAAGGTATGCAAATAAGAGAGGGGCTCGGACAACTAATGCATCCGACAGGCAAATTAACAATACTGGCCATGCAAATAGCCTCTAAATCCACAAATGACATTAGACAGTGTCAGACAAAGCCTCTTTAACAAGTGAAATCTGTACTTTATCATAAGCTACAAGAAATATGATCTTGAAAGTCTTAAGGAAAATTTATGTAACTTTGGCCAAACGAGCTGGTGTGTGGATTTTGTTCTTTTATTTAAAAAATGTTTTAATTTGCACCCGTTCCAGCTGAGTGAATGTCAAGTCAATAAAGCAATTCTGATTTTCAAGGAGACTATTTGTTTGCGGGAAAAAAAAGAAAAACACTTTGCCGCCATCTGCCAACTGCACAGTTGACTTGAGCACATGTACTGTACCTAATCAAATTTAGCAGAGCCCCACTGACGGATTAAAAATGTGGAAAAAATAAAAAAGGGAGAGAACTTTAAATGTTTTTTTTTTCACTTTAATAAAGAGACAACACACAATATGAGGGGCCAATTTGACTTTCAAGAAACTACTTGAATAGATTTGGATTTTAAACAGCTTTGTATACCATTATCTCTCTCTCCTTCTCTCCCTCCCTCTCTCTCTCTCTCTCTCTAATCAGGCATCTGTCACTCTGTTTTTGAAGTTATTATCGCCCCAGCTCCCTCTTGGATGTGGTTGCTGGGTGACGGGTATCTTAGCACCCACTCTGACTGGGAATGATTTGAATGGAATCCAGAAATCTCCCCTGAGTACCTGTAAACACATCCGTGCCTTGTAGAAAACAAATATATTATAAGAGAGCTCAGCGGAGGAGAGGAGGGAGAGAGAGACAAGCTGGCACCCTCGGTGGCAGCTCACACTGAGCGCTAAACAAAACAATTACCGTCATTTGCAAATATGTGTGTTTAGGCATAAACACTCTTGAAGTAAGAACAAGAGGGGTGATAGCTCTCGCAACACTCGCTGTCATATCAGTATCAATTAGATATATTTATTAAAAGAGGAGAAAAGTCGTTTTCGCTGTGACCTGTCACTCGAAACGTTTCAGAGTCAGATCTGTTTGACTGAACCGAGCCGGGGAAAATCTATTTAAGAAGGGCATGTAAGTGAAAAGCCGTCCCATTCCCAGTGGTGGGACATTGTCTGGGGCGTGTGGTTAACCTTCAGGGGTAGACAATGATTGTCAATTAACTGCTGCATTTCTGCGCCCCAGCATCGGATAGCCTGCCTCCACAAAGCGGACCAATGAGAGATATGCGATATCTCTGCACCGCCCCCCCCCTCCTCCCGTGTTATAATAACCTTTCAGAGAGTTCAAGTGTCACACAGCAATAAGAACCTTTTCCATCCCACCGCAGGGAAAATGAAAAGGAAAACAAGTAGCTGGAACAGAGGGCTCCTGGAGGGCCAGAGTCATAATGTAGGGGAGATTACTGAGCCTGGATCAGTGTGGGAGCAGGAGCGAACACTGCTAATCTGGCACAAGAGTCCTTATGAAAATGAAGGGGTCAAGAAATTTAAATTTAAGGTTATTTTTAATTTAAAAATTAATGATAATTACAAAAATATGTTTCTGTTGTTAAGGCAAAAGAATACTGTTCAAAAACCCAATATAAAAGTGTGTAAAAGTATTTTTTCTTATTTACTAAAAAGGGTTAGAGATGCAGTGTTGCTCTGTGATGCCATTCACATTCACACGGTGTGCAAAATGAGAGTAGTGTTGTTTTAGCACAATAGATGGTGGGAGGGTAAAAAACAGCATGTGAAATAGTAAGACCCATTGTACAGGAGTATTATCCACCTCATTGTTAGCACTCTGCCACGGTGTAAAGAGAGCACTGACACTGTGGTAACAGAGCGAGATGAAAAGCTAAAGTATCTCAGGCAGCAGGCTGTTGTTGTGTAACCAGAGCGGGTTAGCCGGCGAGCTCGGACGCTTGTTATCTTTACACTAAGTCGTCGGCACCTAACGGAACTACGACTCCGGAGAGGCGACTTGTTTTCACCTGCAGGGTACAACCGTGCCCTGTTTGCTCGGAGCTGATCGTTCTGTCAGCAGCAATTCAATGACAAGACAGAGTGAAGCACACACACACACATCCCAGCAAATAAAATCAACTTATTCTAAGTAACAGAAGCCTTTTATCCAGCGGATGCCTCACTGTTCCATGATGTAATTCTCCAAATGGGGCAGGCAGGCGGGCAGGCCAGGTCTGAGTGATTGATTTCAGCCCAGCACCAGGAGAACCTGGCTGCTTTCAGAGACAATTACAGTCCTGTCCATGTGCCCGTAATAGCCCAGCACTTTAGCGTCATTAAAGCGACGCGAGGCACTGCATTATCCTTTAACCCCCATCGCCGGCCATCCCCCCATTGACAACCCTGAGAGTTCAACCACATACTTTGTCACCTGAAGCCCCCACGCCACGCTCTCGCAGAGGATCCCCTCACAATATGTGTCTATCTATGGATAAGGAGGGAGGGAGGGTTCTCTGCTACCTCAATACTTTATGTAAATGATGCTCAGGCAACTAAGTGCACAGGTGAGCTGTTGAGACGATACTGGAGTGGAAATATGGAACATAATACGAGTGTAGACAAGAGGGACAAGTGTGTTTACTGACGACAGGATAAATAAATGTCAAATACATGAAATACATAGGAAAAAAAATTATACATAAATAGAATTAAAACGTTCCATTCTGTTGACATCTCTGTCAAAGTTTGATTACTTAATTTTGCATTTTCTGACCAGGTGATTCTGGAGGATGAAGTGCATCCAACCTCATCATACATAGGAACATTAATAGCACAAAATTGAAATTAAGTGTGCTCATCAATTTCAGTGTATTTCTGTATTAGTGTTCATATTTGTTCCACTTGTGATACTTAAATGTGCATCTAAAAGTTTAAATAAATTCCCAAGTGAGTGTGTGCTTTAAAATAAAAAAAATAAAAAGCAGCTCAAAGTGTTTATTGTTATTCCCAAACTGATGTGGAGCCATTTTCCATCAAATTTGCATTTCCAGCTCATTTCTGGGTGGGTAGATCAATATGGAATCAATCATGGTGACAGGTAAGATGGTAAATTTGACCAGGCTGAACCATCCTGTGAGACGAGGCGATACATCACACATCCAGCAGCAGCAGAACAGTAAAAATAGCTTTTAATCAAATATTGATCTCCACTTAAATCACTCCATATTAAAGCATATGAAGTGAAAAATATTTGATCTGGTAACATGAGGTGGTAAGATAATTTGTGTTTGTGTGTAGATGTTTATCTCAATCACTGTGAATGAATACACAGTGATTGAGTATTGTTTTATAGATATAAATGCATGTTCTCATTTTCTGGCTGCACGTGTTCTTTCTTTTGTGTGAGTTTATAATGAGTTCTTTAAGACATGCAACGATAAGTACAAAAATATCAAGTGTCTTCTAATTCTAATATGAGTGTGTTTACTCTTTTTAAACATCTAGCTTACTTAAAGTGAAAATCATATCAACTCTGTGGAAAAATAATACGTAACTATGTTAAACCTTTAATTTAAGGTATTATTAAAAGTACATTTCAGGTGTTGCCTTAAATTAAAGAGGAATTAAAGTGTGGCTGGTTGAAAACATGATAAGGCTCCTTGTTCCTCAAAGTGTCTTTGCAGTGGCAGCTCTACACCTGAAGTTTATTCTACAGCATTGTGAGACTCAGCAGAGGTGTAGCCTACATTATCGATTCATTTGTTCACAGGCAGACAGGCTATCCATCATGGCACAGCTTTGCCCCGCACGTGTTTAAAAAAAACTTTCACTACAACTTTTTTCCACTGGTGCTGCGCGCTGGCTCCTTCTTCTGCTCCTCCAGCAGAGAACTAAACCAGCACATTACTTCATGTTCGGATGCAGTTTGACACATCCACACATGCACTCACTGCGCCAACCGATTGATAAGTTCATCATGTCGCAGAAACCACTTGTTTTAATGCAGGGAAAATGTCTCCCCCTCTCTGGCTGCTGCGCCTTTACGCACGGCTCTCCGTAAAAGACATGTAACCCAAAGCCCGAAATGAAAACGCCGCGCACGGCTCCTCCACTCACCTCGCGTTGGTGCAGTCGTTGTACAGGGTCTCGAAGTCCTTCCTGGAGATGAGCTTGCAGCGGTTCACCCCTGGCTGGATGGCGCCGAGCCCTCTGAGGATGCGGACCTGCTCCACATTGCACACCACCGGCGTGATCTCCAGCCGCTTCAGCTTGGTGTAGACGGTGTGCAGTCCGCCGACCAGGTGCTTCAGGAACAGGTCGAACGCCTGCGGAAGGCAGATGAGCTCGCAGCCGTCCACGGTGAACGAGGCCACTTTGGCACCGCGCAACTCGACCATCTTGCACTCGTTGTTTTGCGGTATGTTCTCAACAGGCGACGGGGTCGAGTACACGGGTTTGCCGGGGGGTAGCGCCGCGTTCGGGTTCGGGATGCCCGGGCTGCTGGTGGCGAGCAGCTCCGACCTGAACAGGTTCTGCCCGGGTCCGGATGGAGGTGCCAGGGATGGAGACGGCGATGAAGTTGTCGACGGCGGGGACGTGGTGGCGGAGGGAGTCGAGATCGGAGGCGGCGGCACCAGAGGAGTTGGTGGGATCAGAGCAGCCGGTACGGCCATGGTCACCTACAGGAGGGGGAAGAGAGCGGCCGAAGTTCAAAGTATAAAAACCCAGCCTGCCGAGACACCCCGAAATGAAAGAATCCACGAGAGTTTAGCTCCTCGGATAAGTTGAAGGGGGGGGAAGTAGAAAAGAGCTGCGCGGAAAAAGGCGTGCTGAGTGAGGGGCTTTGGGGGGGCCGAGCGGCGGGACAATGATCAAAGATAGGAGGAGGAATGACAGGAGGAAAATGAGCTGAAAAGTGCAGCTCCGCTCTGTGGATGAGTTGTTGTTGTCACACGGCACAGAGAGGGAGGAGCTAGGGGACAGTGGGAGCCTTTGAAGAGCAGATCACTGGCTGAAATGTTCCAGGTCTGTTCAAGATGTTGCAGCGTTAATATTCCACACATCAGGGATCCGGTTAGGTCAGATCACAATCGTGAAAAATTAGAAAAACAAAAAATGAAAAACTGTCCCCCCCCCCCCTGCACCTGATATTCCAGTTTCTTCAAACACCTGCTCCAACAGTGTGCAAACATATCCACTGCACCACACACACACACACACACACTGTTCCTCCATGCACCTTCATGTTTCAGAGGAATCCTGTGCACTTTTCATTCATGCATCAATATTGAAAGATTTTTTACAACTTACATTGTTCTTTTGTCTGATTGTTATTATGAGTCACTGTCCAAGGTGCACCACATACTGTATCTGGGAGAGGGGAAAATGTGCCTCATATAATTAGTCCTCTCTCTGGTTATTGTATTTGCAGCGTAGCCATGGCGTGTTGTATTTATAATAATAATAATCATAATAAAAATGAGAAGAAGAATAAACTTATATCATCTTTTGAAATATAGATACAGATTGTTTTGCAGATTAAATAAGGAAAAATTGAGGAAAAACAATAGGAAACAATTTAGAAGCAATCTGAAGATCACACAGTTTTAAAGCACAGACGCAGAAATGAAAAATGTAATACGTGAGAAAAAGAGTAAAAACAAGATAAAATGATTAAAAGAGAAGGTAAGATCAGAACTAGGAGATAGCTTACCTCTAAACAAGTGTCTTTAAGAGAGATCTGAGAGGAGATAAGGAGTTTTCTCTCCTCAGGGAGATTGTTCATATGTTGTGCAACAGCATAACACAACATGAGGCATAATGGTTGTTTTCAAAGAGATGAAAGCTCGCAAACTAAAGCACTGATTAGATTGCAGCGTATAAGTACAAATTAAAGGTTGACTGTGCGATGACCCTCTCTGAGCGGACCTGTCCCTGCAGCAGCCTGATGGGAGGAGTGTGATTCACCTCACCTGATCTGGCTGCTCTGTCTGAGCTGGTGGGATTCAGCCCGTCTTCCTCTCCCTCGTGGCTTCCATGCTGTTTTAATGTAGTTGTGATTTGGTTCCTACATTTAAATTTCTTTGAATAAACATGTTTTTAGTTAAAAACTTGTGTGTGGTCTTTGCTTCTTTGTCCAATCAATCACTAATCTCCAGCAGAAATAGTGATATCATCATATCGGTTATATAATACAACATGTGCAGTGATTCATCTCAGCAGTGCTCCTCTTACTGTCCATTTCGAATGTGATACTCAAACTATAAAAGCATTCAGAAGAGCACATACCTCCTTACATTCAATCACAAACTCATAGATATACAAGTTATTAAAGACTGTTAAAGAATGGGTTCTTCCCTGATCCACACCACATTCTTCTTCAGGTTTTGTGGTGATCTGTCCAGTAGTTTATGTTTTAATGCTGCTAAATAAAAAACTAAATAAATAGAGATTCAAAAACATAGGCACTTTCCCGGACGTAATTAAACTCTTTTTCAATCATTTAAAAATTGCAGATGAACAGGTGAACATGTCAAACAATGTGTCCTCAGTATTCTCACTGACTTTAAATTTGCTGTTGATAAAGAGACACAAACGTTTAAGGATTTGAGATGGTGTGAGAAAACTGGCAAATACCTAAGTCCATTCAGAACTTTTAGACACAGGCAATAAAGATGTTAGTGTCAACTTTAAACATGGTTTACATACTGCACAGTCTCCTCACTGAACAGCAGCTTGTTTAAGGGTCGTACCGTTTTACGACGCTGAGGACTGAACAAAGCTCAGCCCAGCTGGAACGTGAACTCTCCAACTTTCCATCAATCTCAATTTTCGGACAGTGCGGGGAAGGGGGATGAAGGCAGAGAGGGAGGAAATGCATCAATGAACCGAAGGGTCAAGTTCATGTACAGTAACAGCAGCTTCGCACATGTATTTAACCACTTTGCTGCATCACAGTGTTTTCTTACAAATCCAACAGTTGGTGTAACACAACAGTGGAGTTATCCCCAAGTCAGACAAGTCATAAAAGCAAAGCATTCTTTTTAAATATGGGCTTAGGTGTGTGTTATTCAAGGTGTGGCAGAAAACCACAAGTGTAATAACACAACTCTGAATCACAGGGAGTTTGTGTAACATATTGCAGAAATGAAAAGAAATGATTAACAATAAGTTGAATTTGGCACAAGGTTTGAACCCACTGTACTTCGACTTTGTACACCTGCTTTTCCTAATATGTCCAATTAACCAGCGGATCTGGAGACATGAGGCAGTGTCGCATTTTCCCTCATATTCTCTGTCTTCCTGTTGTCCTGTTGTGTCAGATCAGCTTTAAGATAAGCAGTGTGCCATTTCAAAATTATCATTCAGGGAAAGAGGTAGCTTGTAGTGTAAAATCAATAGCTGCTTAAAATTCATTGCCAGGCAATCCATTTGCCCTTTATGTTGCTAACCTTTCACTTAAATATGCACCATATTAAGATTTCATTATATACAATGAATGTCACAACAGTTTGCCCACTATTTCTCTTGTTTGCATGGGTTAACTGCAAATCATTGTGCTTGTAATGTCTGAAAGATGATTTTCATTAACGTTACCTTGGAAAAGAGAAAGAGGGAAATACAGCATTAGGAGCCTAATAGGTATTAAAAGGCACCACAGGATATGAAGGATGTTTTAGATACAAAGGCCTTTCAGCAGACTGGGTGGGCTGCATGTGTCTGACCCCAGTTATGAAAACATGGTGCAACAATAATGTAAGTCTGAAAGGTGGTGCAGTAATTTACAAAAGAGAACTTGTTGATATAATTCAACAACAACAAACGCACAAATCGTCACCCCATGTAAAAGTCATGGATGGGAACCTGTCTGAAAAGGAAATAGTTTACTAGGAAAACTGTACTTGCAACCAAAATGTGTCAAATATTTCCTTCGGGCAAAGTGGAACAAAGTAGCGGCGGTTTAAAATTGTCCTTTGCAATAGTTGGAAATTAGCAGCGTGAATGAAGTTTGCAGCGTGACTTAACTAAGTCGCTCAACAATCAGGAATTTTCCATAAAAGTACACAGAAGTACAGTACACGCGAGTGAGATTGCGGTAAACAAATGACTATGTCAAAATGTAATCACCCAGGATGATGTATGGCATCAAGAAAGTGTTTGAAAACGTACAGATATGGGACAAGACTTGTGTATGATCAATGACACAGTATATTGTTTGATGTAATAATTTATTCACCCCATAAAGCCTTGATAAAACAATGTTGAAAAGCAATTTAAATTGAATTCATTTAAATGTCAATTCTCATGGTTAGGATTTTTCTATAATTGGCTATTTAATTAAAATAATTTTCATAGTCATTAATACAGCCAGCAACTTGTAGCGCGCTGACGTGTTTTAATTACATGGTATTAACAAAATTGATATGCTTTAGAAAGCATGGTGAATAAGAAATAATTAGACCAATCATACATCATCCTCTTATGGACATTAAGTGTATCACAATATAATTGATGAACTTAAAAAATGAGAGAGATAAATAACTTTAATTGTACAGACTTGGTGTACAGAGCTGGGAACAAAGAATCATACTCACGATGTATTATATTTCAGAGGCAATTCATTATCTGTAACATCACTTAGCTCCGTGTGCCCAGCACTCTCCTCTAACCTATGATTACATGACATTTGAAAGCAGTGATACCGTGTAGTCTTTTAAAATGTCCTCTTACCTAGTCTGCATAAATCTTCAAACTGTTTTTTTTCTGCATCGGCAAATACGGGGGAGAAGGAGCGGCCGCCTCAGACGTAGGAATAATTTAGATGCTCGGAATTAAGCACTTATTGATCATGAATATTTGTTTCTTGAAGGTTACACTGCTTTGACCCCATCTATCCTTAGACACCGTCCAACACAAACATGCCACTTGGGGTAACGGGGTGGTGTCAGAGAGCACTCACTGACGGTGGAGGGTGTGTGATGATATTCTACACTGGCCACATTGTGAATTAAAGTGCAGGCTTGCTCTTGCTGTTCAGTTACTGAGACTTAAGTGATTATTTTCTGTAATCTTTTCATCAGAACTACTGATTTTAAAGTCCTGTGACAGTCCACATTAACCGTTGAAACGATGAGTCACTCTTTGTTTGTTTCACTGTGAATTGAATATCTTAGAAAGAGATTATAGATTCAGACTCTTGGTTCAAAACAGGCGTCTCAATTGCCACCCTGTAATCTGGAAAAGTTCGATGGGCGTCTTTGATCATTTTCTGACACAATATACAACCGATGAGTCAAACGCAAGTAGATAAGTCAATAATGAGAAGAAGCCGAACAATCATACACATGGTTGTTTAGTTCTTATTGTAGAAATATAAAAGAAAAAAGCAAGAAGTGTTCTGAAATTCTAAATTATTTATTTGTCTTCAAACAGAGTTAAAGACTCACCCAGTAGAGCTGGCTCCCCACACACATCCTCATCTGCAGGGTCGGTTCTGACCAGGCCCTCTGCTGCGTGTCTTCAGTGTCTCTCCCATTTTTGAAATGTCCTGTCAATAAAGAAGAAATGTCCAAAAATGTCTTTAAAGAAAGAAAAACATTTCAGGAAAGATTACTGGCTCCGCCCATTAAGCTGCATCCACACCAGATATGAATGGGTACTTCTCAAACCAAAGCCCCATCCAGAAATTCATGTAGTAGTGTTTGTGTAATCCTGCAGACGAAAGAGACAAAACACCAACAAGAGCACTGCTCACAGAGCAAATACTTCTGTCAAGGCTACATCCTTTCTCACCATTAATAAAAAAGTGAAAAAACATGAATGGATCCTTCCTTTTCTATCGTTATACCATTCCACTAAATTTCGTGGAAATCAGTTCAGTAGTTCACGTCTTATCCTACGAGCTCGCAAAGACCGGACCATTAATCTTTAGTTTCAGCTCCAGTCATTATAAAGTGAGAGTCAACAGCACAAAGTGAAAAAAGATGCAACAATAATGACGCACAATAGAACACATACCTCCGCCAAGGGATACCAGTCGCTATAAATTCTATCGGCACCAAATTCCACACACTCCCTAGGAATTTGGTGGAAATATCCAAAAAGCCTCATCTCTCAATGTTGAAGAAAGTGATTCCTGAATCCGCCCCTTTGTCCAGATCCAAAATTGAATGGCTTCTATCTTGGCCCATGTCCAATCCTCCCACCTTTAATGGAAATCTGCTCTGTAGTTTTTGTGTGATACTGCTGACAAACAAACCAACAAACCAACCAATCAACAAATAAACAGAGAAGGGAGGAAAATGGAGGACATAACGATGGAGAACAAAAACCAACATTGCAAAAGTTGTAGACATTTTCTGTGACAGGAAATCTACGTCGGCTGGATCGAAAGCTTTGTATTGGATCAACATTTCTTCAAGTGCGAGGTCATGATAGAATGAGTTCATACACTCTTACATGTACACTTACACTCTTACAGTTACTCAGGGTTAACCTGCAGACAGTGCGCTGTAAATATAGGTAAAGTACGTGCACAATCTTCAGCCTCTTGATACAAGTGTAGAAGGACTGGGATTCAGATAAGAAAAAAAAAGAAGCTCCTTCACACAGAGTATGTCAAATAACAGCTTTCTGTTAATATAACTGAAGAAAATGGAGTTCACTTCCTTTTCAAAGACCCCCCCCCCCATCACGGATAGTCCCACAATTACAGTAGTCACGGCCCACATCCTGCGGTACTTCATTTGATGCCACGCAGCTTCCAATATAACCGGGGTGCAAGAAACAGAGAGATTTGTGGATATCTAAATTGCAAAAGCAGAAACCTGTATAAACAGCGGTAATTACCGGGCCATTGACAGTCTCTCAGTGTTGTGCTCATTCTGCCACAGCCGCAGTGATTAAAATGAATCCTCATCGACTTCTCCATTAAAGCGCTGGCAGGAGCGATCCCGTGACCTTTCCCCATTGATTGAACATAACAATCACAATTCAATTGTAATGCAAAGAGAACATTTGTTATAATGTACATGAGATGCATGAGCCATTTCCTGGGAGCGGGGAAGGGTAATCAATGGAGTGACTCTTGGCGTGATGCAAGGAGAATGAGGCTGTGTTTGCAGGCCTAATTCATACAGCCTGCAGTGTATGATGGAAGGCAATGATATGCATGTAAACACTCTGATTTCTCTCTGCTCATCGTTCGATAGGATAACAACAAATCCTCATTTCTACGTCCGTATGACTGCCCCGTGCACTCTGCCGTGATTGGCAGTGATGTACGTGCACAAACAGCCCGATACACTTCTGATTCAATCTGAGATCACAATTTCATTCATGTATCATGCCGCACGTTATCTCCAAGAAAACGCCAACTGCCATCTTTCAAGAGACGCGACTTAATGTAACATCATGTGACTTCAGGGACAACAGACCGTTATCGCGACACTCGTAGAATCACTAAGCAGAAGACTGAGAACCCACATAAACCAACACGCTGCTCAATCTATAACACAGCGATACTGTGCGTTCTCGTGACAGTCAAGCAAGGACAAGCTTGTAAAACCGTGATTACTAATGATGAGCCAAACTCGAGCAAGTAAAAACGCAACTTGCACAATCCATGCACCAGAGTAGAGGAAAAGAAAGCATGATAGGCATAACAACCCATCACCATTCAGTGCCATTTTAAAAGCGGCACTCGATCGTGTCTTTCAAAAACTGTCTTATGAAGAGTGTATGCGAATGATGTCCTTAAGGGATTTCTTTTTAGAATCGGGAGATTATAGTTTACACGGACATTAAACAGATTAAACCAGGCAGCTCTCTAAAGGCAGTTTATCTAATGGAGAAAATGTGGTATGCTAATTGAGAAATTCCGATGGTAAAATTATATTTAAACCCCTCTCTCTCTCTCTCTCTGTCTCTCTCTCTCTCACTCAGCCTCCCTCTCTGCTGGAGGATTTTAGTTTGGCTTGATGAAATCAAATGGCTAATCACAGCCATAAGCTGTGAGACGTTAGCTGAGCGAAACAGTGTTTGCCGTGCTAAAAGGTAATTGTCTCAGAAAACTTCATCGATGACAGATTCAATTCCATTTGGTAAATGTTTAATAAATGCTGTACAAACAGGCAGGCCTATCTCGCTGTGCTTAGAAAACAAAGGGAAACTTTAATTGCTTTAATCATCCCGAGCTTTGACGTTGTTATTGGCCTTAAAAATAGCAGTTAACAGAAACTGTCCTGCTGAGGAAATTGAACCAGATTTGGAAAACGATCCGCAATTAAGATAGGGGCATCCCGAGCAGCGAGGTCCAGGAGGATTGTTGTGACTAGGAAAAACATTCCAAGTCATACAAAGCTATTCAATTAACAGAAGGACCCAAGGAAAACAACCTCCCTATTATGTATCACTTACTTTAATCAGATTGAAAGCGATTGTATTCCTTTTTGAAAATCCCTTAACACAAACACGTTAATTAACAGATAGGAGGGTGGAAAGATGTATTTTTCATTAGAGGGTGAAATAATGTTCCCCTTTAACATCAAGGAAAATCAACTGCTTACTGCAGTTAAACCAGTCAGCGGTGTAAATTCCCTGCCAGCATTTTTATTTAAAACCTCATTAATGTGTTTCAACCCAGCATAGCTGTACCTTTAATCTGCACTAAAAGGAAATAATGCGTTTCCTGCTTTATTTACCAGCCTGACTTAACAAGTGTTCCTGTACAATTAGAATTCTTAATAGATCTGGAAACAAAAGGACTTTGAAGGTGGGAAAGTGCTGACATTATTTCACAGGGGAAAAACACTCTTGAGAAAAAAGATCTGCTGTAAATGTAGTTTCCTGGAACACAGGCGCACTGCAATGTTGGTCTCTCTCATTAGAAATGCCATGCACAGGACATAAATCAAGGCCCGTAAAACATTTCATTGCCACACAACACTAAATTACACACTTGCTGGTTTGCCATACTGATTGTGTTTAAAGATTGTAATTTTACTTTATTCCCATTAAATCTATGCAGGGTTTTACAATCCATAAACAGAGTATCTGTAATAAAAGTTAATAAATGTCAGAATTTGCATTTGGAAAAAAACACCCCCGCTACATTTTTTTTGCAAATATCAATCTATGAACCTTTCAGGGTTTCATCAAACAAAATGCTAATTGTACCTTTAGGAATTTAGGAGACAAGTGACATGAAATTAGATGCAATGTCCTTTGGAATCAAGAGATCTGCTAAACTGGAATACATTAAGTGTGAGACCAAAGCCAAGTGGAAGAGGACTGTTTTCGGCACAGCACAAAATAAAAAAGGATTATATATTGTTTTATAATGAGCAGTGTCAGGATATACATCATATATCAACAAAAACTCAACATTTAAACCTTTATGAAGGAGGGATTCATTGCAGACCTGTTGTTTTAGAGCGGATTAGTTTTACCTGGGAACATATGTTTCTGGAATAAATAGGACTCCTGCAGTTTTCTATTGGTCCATGTGTAATGTAATGACAGTAAAGTTAGAAAAACATCAGTTTTGCCATTTGACCCTTTTGTTAGTTTGGACTAGTTCTTTTCATTTCCCTTTTCCTCTTCTCATGACTGAGTTATATTGGTGTAACATACTTGGACTATGTCATATGGTAGCGTTACACACAAGACATTTCAAAACCAGGCTGTCATGTAAAAACCAAAGTCATCAGTAGTTTGTGTCTTATTAGGATCAATCCATGCGTTATTTTTTCAAGCAACCTCCGGTGGCCATTAAAGTCAGGACAGGAGCAAAGGCCGAAATTAGGTCACAGGTGACATAAAGAGACAAAAAACAAGAGGAGACTTCTGTTTGTTTCCTCTTTGAAACAAATGGTCATCAGGGACAAACAACCTATTTGGTCCTGGAGGTTGAAGGACTTGTTTTTAGGAAGGCTTTGACTTTGATTATAGAGACAATCTTACAGAGACAATGTTATGTGGGCACTTAGCTAATAGCCAAGAAGCTGAAACCTCATTCAGAAGGAGAATTAGTGCAGGGATCTTAAAACAGACAGAGTAAAATTGTTCCAAAGTCTCAGTTTGTTTAAAAGAACACACTCGGCATGAGATATTTGCACAGAATATTAAAAAACACTGAAGGACACCACAAGAAATTTCCACTTTTCTCTCTTGCCTGCAATAAAACAACAGACATAACAAATTCCACCAATCTGGCCATCTTCATGTGTGCGACTGAAGCCAAGTTTGGTACTGGGGAGGATTTTCTGTCTCTGCAAGCCATGCATAGCATGACCAAAAGTGAGGATTAGTTTGAGAAAGTTCTTTTGGCGAAAAGCAACTGTGAGTAGCATCATTTTCACCTGACGCCAGATGCTTCGTCAAAGAGAAACAGCTCCAGCCAGTGCATTAGAGAGGTTAGAGTAAAATAAGTGTTCAATAATTTAGTATGGACCACAAATGTTATAAAAATTGAAATGGCGCTTGATGGGAAAAAGGTTCTCCACCATTTCTTAGTGAGACAGAATGATTGAAAATATTCTTCTGTGT